AAATGGGACACTGGAAGTCGGACTGCCCGACCCTGGCTCAATCCTTAGCACCTCAATGCGGGGGAAATGAGACCCAGGATTTCCCAGCATTGGAACTACTAGGGCTCATGGACGACTGAGGCGGCCCTGGTTCTGCGACTCCAGTCACCCTCACCGAGCCCAGGGTCACGCTCCAGGTAGCGGGTAAGTCTATTTCCTTCTTAATAGACACGGGGGCTACCTACTCTGTCCTCCCCTCCCATTCGGGCCTCACTTTTCCTTCCCAGGTCTCGGTTATGGGAATTGATGGGCTCCCTACAACCCCCAAACGAACGGCCCTACTTAACTGCATCTTTGAAGGCCACCCATTCTCCCATTCCTTTTTAGTAATGCCTGCCTGCCCAGTTCCACTCTTGGGGAGAGATATCTTATCTAAACTCCATACTACCATCTCTTTCCTCCCCCAGCAGCCGCATCTAATAGCTTTACTCTCTGGCCCTACCCAGGCTACTGCCTCAGCTTCCGCGGTCCAGCTCTTACCGGCAGTCCACCCTGGGGTCTGGGACACAAACACCCCCTCGGTTGCCTCACATCACGCCCCCATCCTTATCAAATTAAAAAACCCATCATCTTACCCCAATCGCCCCCAATTTCCCATCTCTCAGGCTCACCGACTAGGACTCCACCCCATTATATCTAAACTCAGAAGCCAGGGCCTCCTCATTCCTACCAACTCCCCCTGTAACTCCCCCATTCTGCCTGTTAAGAAACCCTCGGGGCAGTACCGCCTTGTCCAAGACCTTCGCATAATTAATTCAGCGGTCATACCCATCTCCCCTGTAGTCCCAAACCCCTACACCCTCCTCTCTCATATTCCCCCCCATACTACTCATTTCTCAGTTCTTGACCTAAAGGATGCTTTCTTTACCATCCCGCTACATCCTGATTCCTATTTTCTCTTTGCTTTCACCTGGGAAGATCTGGTTTCCAATATTTCCCAACAGTTAACATGGACTGTCCTCCCTCGAGGATTCCGAGACAGTCCGCACCTCTTTGGTCAGGCTCTTGCTCAGGACTTAAGGGAATGTGATCTGTCCCCATCCACTCTTCTCCAATATGTAGGCGATCTTCTCATCTGCTCCCCCTCTGAAGGAGATAATATCTCAGCCACCACCACTCTCCTCAATTTTCTTTACACCAAGGGTTACCGGGTGTCTGCACAGAAAGCCCAGATCGCGACTCCCTCGGTGACCTATTTAGGGCTCCTTGTCACTCCGACACACTGGGCAATCACCTCCGACGGGTTGCAGGCCCTTAGGGACTTACAACCCCCGATCTTGGCAATGGAAATTCAGTCCTTTCTTGGGCTTATGGGGTTCTTCAGGCACTGGATCCCCAATTTTGCCCTCCTAGCCAGACCACTCTACCAGGCAGCCAGAGACACCCCCGAGGGACCCCTGACCTCCCCTAAGGAGGTCCGCCGGGCTTTCCAGACCTTCCTTGAGGCTTTGTGCTCTGCCTCAGCTCTTGCTCTCCCCAATCCCCAACGACCTTTTCTCCTCTATACAGAGGAAAAACATCACTTAGCCATAGGGGTCCTGGTTCAGCCACTTGGCCCCACCCTGGTCCCTGTTGCTTACCTCTCAAAGCAGCTGGACCCCACTGTTCGTGGATGGCAGCCTTGCCTCCGGGCCCTCGCAGCAGCGGCAGAACTCACCACGGAGGCACTGAAGATCAACCTACAACAGCCTCTCCAGGTTTTCTCCCCCCACCGCCTTACCGACCTCTTAATTCTTCCAGACGCCCAAAGACTGCAAATACTGTCGGAGATCCACAAGTCTCTCCACATAGGCCCCGACGCCCTTCACCGATTCTTATCCCCAATCCTCCACCCTGACAAACTCCGGCCGGCTATCCAGGCCGCACATGCCTCATATTCTGTCTGTTCCAGGTCCAACAGCCAAGGAGCTTGCCATGTGCGCAGGCCTCTACACCAAATGCGGGGTCACCTGCCAGGACAAGACTGGCAGATAGACTTCACTCATATGCCTAAACACAAACAACTAAAATATCTTTTAACCATGGTTGATACTTTTTCAGGTTGGATCGAGGCCCTCCCAACCGCCTCAGAGACTGCAGAAACCGTAGCCACTCACCTACTGAAAGACATCAACCCTCGCTTCGGGCTGCCAAACTCCATACAATCAGACAACGGGCCAGCTTTCATCTCCAAGGTCACTGAAGCGGTCTCGGTCTCTCTTGGCATCAAATGGAAACTACATGCGTCCTATCACCCCCAGTCCTTGGGTAAGGTTGAGCGGGCCAACGGCCTCATCAAGGAACATCTAACCAAACTCAGCCTGGAATTCCGACAGTCCTGGCCTGACCTGCTACCCCTGGCCCTTACCCGTCTTCGAGCTGCGCCTCGGGGACCCTCTCACCTCAGTCCTTTTGAACTTCTATACGGAAGACCCTTCCTCCTTCCTACTCCGTCTATAGACTCCCCACCCCCTCTGGCCTCATACCTGCCCTACCTGTCCCTCCTTCGCTCCCTCCTCCGAGAACATGCTAACCGTACCCTTCCTAAACCTGGACCTGACCTGGGATCGGAGCTCTCCCAACCCATTTCACCCGGAGACGGGGTACTAATCAAGACCCTCTCTCCCCGACCCCTACACCCTAAATGGGAGGGACCGTACACCGTTGTTCTGACTACTCCCTCTGCAGTTAAGGTGTTGGGGATCTCCGCCTGGATCCATCTCTAGGATAAAGAAAGCCCCGATTCCAGAAGAGCAACCAGTCCCGGAGCCTCGCTTCACCTGCACTCCATTAGGGCCGACGAAAATCAGAATACAAGATGCCCTAATTGGATCATCCACGATAAGTCATTATGATTCTGCTATACATCTTTCTGACTCTGGGCCTCGCCCCTGGTTGCCCACTCATTCTTGCCGCCTTCTCTCCTTTGCTTCTGGAATCCTCCCATCTGTTCCGTACCCTGAATTTGACCCAACGCCTCCTCTATAAGGCCAACTCCACATTTGCGACTGACTGTTGTGTCTGCCTATCCCTGTCCTCCTCAGCCTACTATGCCATATGTGTGGGTCCACCACCTATATGTGTCTCCCCACTAACTGGACCGGCACCTGCACCTTGGTATATCTCACCCCCAACATCAATATAGTCCCCCAGGACGCCTCCCTGCCTGTTCCCAATGTCACCCTGATTAATACAAGAAGACACAAACGGGCTATACAGCTGGTACCCCTCCTCACTGCCCTAAGCATTACAGGAGCTTTGGGACTCGGGGCAGGTGGGTTAGGAACCTCTATCATATTTCCACATCCTATCTGAAGACCTACAAAATTCTTTAGAAGAAATAGCCTCCACCCTTCTCAGCATCCAAGATCAACTAGACTCCTTAGCAGCAGTCACCCTTCAAAATCGAAGGGGCCTAGATCTCCTCACTGCAGAAAAGGGAGGTATATGTGTTTTCCTAGAAGAGCAATGCTGCTTCTATCTTAACCAGTCAGGCCTCGTCCGAAATGCTGCCAATAACTTAAAAGAAAGAGCACAACACATTCGGAAAAGGCGAGATCAATCTTGGAGCACCTGGTTCGATTCCAACTGGGCACACTGGGTTTTGCCGCTTATGGGTCCCATAACTCTCCTTTTTCTAGCCCTAGCCTTCGGACCCTGTCTCCTGCGACTACTCTCCTCCCTACTACAAAACCGACTGAAGGCCCTCACCAGCCAGACGGTGCACGAGATCATGATGCTAAGCCATTATCAACCTCTTGCCAGATCCTCAGGCCCGGATCATGCCGACATGGGCCCCCTCCCCTAACGCCGCCCCTGTCCAGCAGGAAGTAGCCAGAAAGACACCTGCGCCCCTTTGTCATTATCACAGAGTCGGGAATGTCCGATGGCTGGGGGACTGGCGCCAGGCAAAGTGCTCGACCATTGTCTCCTTGGTCAGTTTTGTCTCCCACCCTGAACGGCCTGCCTCGAGCCTATAGATTAACTCCCATCTTGCTCTTATCGATTCACATTCCAGAGGCTCCATGCATAGCCCCCGCAGGGCCAAACCCTAAGAGACAAATTCCAGATACAACAGGCAGATATAAAAGACACGAGCCCCTACATTGAGCGCGGCTTCTAGGACTCGACCCCCGGAGTCTGTGAACCCGCCCGGAGTGTACCCAATAAAGCCTGATCCCTGTTTATTCGGCTGATTGGCTCTCCAGTCTCTTCTCTGTTTTATTCGGCGGCGCCCCCGATTCCTTACACTCATTAAATATAGTCTTGGATTTTTCCACGTGCATGAATCTTCTCCACACTTAGGCAGTAAGTCCCCTGCGAGCAGTAATCAAGTCTTTTCTAGCCTGGCAGAATCCTGGCATCATGTTGCATTTCTATTGTTCAATAAATAAACATACAAACTGGTTGCGTGATATTTGGGAGGATTTGCTTCAATCCTGGCATATTTTAACACAAAGGATATGGGTGATGACACCACAAATTCGTACAATGAATGCAAAAGTGTCTTGATATCACAGTTCTGGCGCAGGGTTGCACTAATTAAACTACAGTTTGCCCGCTCCCGCACCTTACAGTTTACAAAGCAGCACCTCAAAAGCTGCGTTTAGGTTCTGTCCTTAAACTCCGCGGCGAGGCCATTTACAACAGGGGAGGGAGGAGCAGGCTGGGAGCCGCTGGAGTTGGGGGTCACTGTTGCTCTGACACAGGTCTTGTTTGGGGTTGACATTTCGGCCAGGCTGCCTCGGGGCGGCGAGACCTGAGTTCTCTTTCCATCAGTGTTGCCAAGGTGGGACAGGAGACTCGGCCGCACCCCTCTTTCGGATATCTGATCCGGGGCTCTCGAGACACTTAGCTCCGCACAAAGATGGCGCCCAGCCCAGGCTGAGCCAATGGGGAGTGGCGATGCTCCCGGTTGCCTAGGTAACAGCCAATGGGCAGCGGGAATTGTGCCCAGTGCGGCTGCCCCGGGATGGCGGCGTCAAGAGCGGCAAGCTCTGGTGGAGGTGGCTGAGAGGCAGGTGGCAGGGGCGAGCCCAGCGGAGCGGAGGTCCGGGCCGCTGGAACCCCGCGCCGGGGCGCGAAGGTCATCCCGAAAGGCGGAGCCCAGGTTGGCTGGCAGCGCAGGAGGGAGGGGGCCGGGAGAGTGTGGCCGGTGAGGAAGGGACTAAGGGGCCCAGCCCGAGATGACAGGGGCTGGGGAGCGTGGCTCCATGCCCGACGCGTAGACCGGAGGGCGGCTGCCCCGGGATCCCAAACCGCGGGTGTCCCATCTCCACCGCTGGGGGCCGAGGTCTGGGAGAGCCATGGCTCCAGGGTTAGCGAGCAGGATGGGTGGGGTGGCAGACAGTCCGGCCCGGGCGGGCGGGAGGGCAGACCCGGGAGAGAGGGCAGGAGCAGTTCTGGAAGGCAAGAACGGGCGGCTGAAGGAAAGGGGAGGTCGACAAGCAAGTGTTGCCTTTTGCCACCAAGGGCTTTGTTTGCTCTCGACCCGCCTCTCTCACACTGTGGTGGAGGGAGGTCCCACACATCAAGGTTTGGAGAAACGGGATGCCTCAGCCAGTAGATGGTAGCATCCCTGTAGTCGACTATGTCCAAATGCTTAGGTATCAGCAGGAATAACTAAACTGTTTTAGAAACCGAATCAGGCATTCTCCTTAACCATGAAATAGAATACTATCCTGGCAGCCCTCATTCCTCCAAGTCTTCTTTTATTGTTGTTATTATTGTCATTATTTTTACCTTCTTTCTGGTATCAGAATTTTCTTCCCAGGTTCTTCAATCTAACAGTCCCACAGTCTTCCAAAATAAGACCTTTACCTAGTATCCATACATTTGTTTACTTTTCGAGTGGAAGGGAGACTTACAGGAAAAGAGACCTGACTTATAACAAAAAGTTATTTCAAGTTCATTTAAAACACTTTAAAAGAACGTTTGACTTTTTGTTCTAGGTTTATTCTTTGTTCATCAACGCCTTCATTTTCTTCTCTTTAGGATTCTAAAAGCCTAAGAACTGCTTTCTTTATAACTGAAGGAACTTTGACAAGACTGTCATACTTTGGGGAGGGTGGATTGGGAGGGGGACAATGTTAAAGGTATATGTGTGTAGTTAACATTGCTGCCTCTGAACAATATTCCTTTTAAAAAAAATTTATTTAAAAGAGAGAAACATTAGTTTGTTATTCCATTTATTTATGCATTCATTGGTCGATACTTGTATGTGCCCTGACCAGGAATGGAACCCGCAACCTTGGTGTATTGGGATGATGTTCTAACCAAATGGAACCCAGCCAGGGCTCCAAAGAATATTCTTAAACTGAAAATCTATTCCTCTTTATGTTAGTTAGTTTTTTTGTTTGTTTTAATCCTCTGAATTTGGACACAGACTATTAGAATGCATCAGTTGTTTTTTTGTTTTAACAAGTTTGATTTCTAAAAAAAAGGACAAACTGAATGGAAACAAAAGTTATTCCTGTTTTTTACTTCTATTTGGAATGGCTGGGTCAGGAGGAAAGAAAGAGAGCAGGGATACAGTCTATTGTACAGACTAATAGTGTATTAGTTTACAGAGACAAAATAGTCATTTCCTTTTAGATAAATGTTTGGATTTATTTTTTGCAACCCATCCAAGAAGAGAGCAGAAAGGGAGAGTATCTGTTTAGAAGAAGCATGAATTATCTTGACTGGTGACGAGATTCCATATGTGTAGCTAAAGCCTAAATTCATAAGCCATCTATTGTCTTTAAAAAAGGTTTTTGGGATAATTGATAAAAATACTGATTTGCATCCTTATTAAAGTATTGGGTTTGCAGTCTTCATTAGCACTGACTGTATTTATTTATTGTTTTAAAGTATTTTTTTCCTTTATTGATTTTTAGAGAGAGAGGAAAGGAGAGGGAGAGAGAGAAAGAAACATCTATGAAAGAACATCGATTGGCCACCTCCTGCATGCCTCCCACTGGGGATTGGGCCCACAACCTGGGCATGTGCCCTGACTGGGAATCAAACCAGCAATCTCTTGGTGCATGAGTCAACACCAGCCAGGCTGACTATACTTCATTAAACTAAATTTATCTCAATGACCGTAGTAACTGGTGAAATTTTTTTCTGGATCAGTGGCTATGCAGCTGAGTATTACTTAGCAGAAACCATAAATGAAAATCCTGACACTGTCACTGGCAGTGACAATATCAATTTTGGACATAGGTAGAAGTTCCTAGGACCCTCTGGTTCACAGGCTGAGGCTCCAACCGCTGAGCCAAACTGGCCAGGGCGACATGTATTCCTTTTAATTAGCACTTCTGATTGTGTTCTTGGGAATTGACAAGCAACTATTGAGGGGGGGTTTGCTATATCTCCCTAGATAAAAAAGGAATGGAAATCTGTAGTACAGTATGTAATTTTGAGAGGATGGTGGCAGGGTTAGGTTGAGAGATGATATTCCCTTCTTTCACACACCTACTGGTCCCTCTGAAACAAGGTGGGATGCCACTATTTGGTTGCCTCCCGCATGAACCCGACCTGTGCTGGGGGTCAAGCTTGCAGCCCAGGTATGTCCCCTTGACCAGGAATCAAACCCGAGACCTTTTGGTCCATGGGCTGATGCTCTAACCACTGAGAAAACTGGCCAGGAAGAGATTCGGACTTAATTTGAAGGAATGAGATAGTTTGAATTTATACTATAAGCTGACTTTTAGTACTTTGAGGTAAATTGTTCTGGAAAGGGCTGAAGATGGCCTCTAGCTTTCACAATACTTATCAGGACTGGAAGGATTTTCCCAGGCAGTTTTGATGGAAAACAGTTTCTGTTTCTCTCATTAATATTGTATTTGCAATGGAGTCATGTTGACCTCTACCCCAGGCACACTCTGATGCTGGACTGATGATAAGAGGATTGTGCACCTGAAATTGGATGCTGACCTTGTGGAACATTGATGGGACAGAGATGGCATCACCTCTCCAAGAAAATAGCCCCAGGGGTTTTGAGGGGCTTTAAGATAGGAAGAAAATTATCCTTTTCTTGGGCTACCTTTTATTATGTGAAAGACCCTGGACATGAAGTTTCTGAGTAGAAAAGTGAGAAAGTCCCTGATTGTGATTGACTCCCAGACATCTCTAGAAGTGCTCTACAAAGCTGGCCTTCATTATGAGGGTAGAAATGAATGTTCTTCCATGTTTGAGTGAGACCACAGAGGGTCTCAGAACTCATCTGTCCTTATAGCTGGGATGAAACTAGAGTTCTGAGACAGAGCCAGGCCTAGAAGTGATTGGGCCTTGCTCTGTTAAGGCTAGGCTGATTTCACATCACCATTTCACTCACCATTTCTGAGAATGCATCTGTATCAAAAATTATTATGATATCCCTGGCCATTGTGACTCAGTTGGTTGAGCGTTGTCCTGTGCACCAAAGGGTCACAAGTTTGATTCTTGGTCAGGGCACATGCCTGGGTTATAGGCTCAGTCCCAGTTAGGGGGCATGCGAGAGGCAGCTGATTGATGTTTCTCTCTCTCCCTCTCCCTTTCTCTCTCTCTAAAATCAATAAAAACATCATCATCCATCCATCCATCTATCCTTCCTTCTTTCCTTCCTTCCTTCCTTCCTTCCTTCCTTCCTTCCTTCCTTCCTCACTCAAGGATATTTTTTTCTATTTATCTTCAGACAGAGTGGGAGGGGGAGAGAGGGAGAGAAAGGGAGAGAGAGAGAAACACTGATGTGAGAGAGACACATAGACTGGTTGCCTCCCGCACGACCCTGACCAGGGCCAGGGATGAACTGCAACCAAGGTATGTGCCCTTGGCTGGAATCGAACCCACGACTTGTTGGTCCGTGGGCTGACGCTCTACCGTTGAGCCAAACCGGCAAGAGCAATAAAAACATATTTAAAAAAAAAAATGCTTGGCCAGTGTGGCTCAGTGGATTGAGCGTTGTTCCATGGGATGAGAGGCCCTGGTTTGACTCCTGGTCAGGGCACATGCCCGGGTTTCAGGCTCGATCCTCAGTAGGGGGTGTGCGGGAGGCAGCCGATCAGTATTTCTATCTGTCTCTCCCTTCCCCTGTCTCTCAAAAATCAATAAAAGAAACACATAAAAAAAAAAAAAAGACATAGGCCAAAATTAAAATACCCCACAGGGTGCCCTGGTTGGTTTGGCTCAGCAGTTAGAGTGTCGGCCTGCGGACTAATGAGTCACGGGTTCGATTTTGGTCAAGGGTACATACCTCAGTTGCAGCTGGTCCCTGGCCCTGGTCTGGGTAATACGAGAGGTAACCAGTCGATATGTCCCTCTCACATTGATGTTTCTTTCTCTCTCTCCCTCCCCGTCCCTCCCTCCTACTCTAGCTGTTGATAAATGGAAAAAGTATCCTTGGGTGAGGATAAAAAGAAAATACCCCATAGGGTGTTGATAAGAACAGATGGGTGGCAACTGTAGTTTGCATTTCCTCTACTTAGTATTTACCTCATTAGTCAAAATTGCTGAGTTTTTTTCAAAATGCTATTTAAATTATGTTGGTAGCATTTTTATACTGAGACTTTAGAGAAATTTCCATTATAGTAAGTGTGTGGGTATAAGTGTTTCTTTGAAGGAGAAGAACATTTAAAAGACAGGGCTAGACAGTGTTCTAGGTACTTTCATGTGTGCTATTTCATTTAATCCACATGCCAACTCTCCACTTTATAAAGGAGGAGACTGAGGTTTAGAGACAGTTAAATAAGTTGCCAAGGTTACAGAGTGAATCAGACTCTGAACCCAGGTCCTTGTGTGACCAGGGTCCACAACACCACTATATTACACTGAGAGGTAAGATAGAATAGTGTTTAAGAATGTGGACCCTACAACCAACTGCCAAAGTTCTGATTCTAACTTGCACATCTTAGCTGGGTGACTTTAGTTAACTTACTTACCCTCTCTGTACCTCAGTTTCCTATCTGTAAAGTGGAAATAATAATAATAATGCCCATTTCATAAGGTTGTGAGATAAAATTAGATAATGTATTTTATTGATTTTTTTTTTTTTTTTTTTTTACAGAGAGAGGAAGGGAGAGATAGATAGAAACATTGATTGGCTGCCTCCTGCACGCCCCCTACTGAGGATCGAGCCCGCATGTGCCCTGACTGGGAATCGAACCTGGACCTCTCAGTCCATGCCAGGACGCTCAATCCACTGAGCCACGCCAGCTGGGCAGATAATGTATTTTTAAAACAATGATGGCACATTCTAAGGAGTCAATAAACGTTAGTTGCTGTTGTGAAGGTATTTCATATGCTTCTCTGGGGCTAGCTCAGTAGATTATAGAGGGTTGTGGCTGATGTGGAGGATAAAAAGCTCAGCAGTGTTCACCACCACCATTTGGAGAAAACAACGTATGTCTTGTTTTAGTTGAACATTTAAAGCATCATTTTTTGTATAAAATATACCAGATCCCTCTTGGTCTGTGGAATCTAGTCATTGTAACCCTATCTTGATTTTCCATAATGGAGACATCCTTACAACCCTTAACATTGTGTGTAACTTGGGCTTCTCTGGGACTTGAAGGAAAAGGAAGCTAGCAGTTGTCACGAGGCTTACAGGGATTTAAAAAGGAAGCTAGTGCCTGGCCAGTGCAGCTCAGTGGTTGAGCATCTATCTACCCATGTACCAAGAGGTCGCTGGTTTGATTCCCGGTCAGGGCACATGCCCAGGTTGGGGGCCTAATCCCCAGTGGGGGGCATGCAGGAGGCGACCAGTCAATATCCTCTTTCATCGAAATTTCTATCTCTTTCTCCCTCTCCCTTCCTCTATCTCTAAAACCAATAAAGAAAAAAAAAATTAAAAAAAAGGAAGCTAGCTGTTGGTACCAGGCCCACAGGAGTTGTTAAAAAATTGTCCTCCGGGTCTGACCTCAGTGCTCTGAATAAGAGGTGCACTTGTCCTGTTGGAACTGTCAGGTGCCTAAGGGTCAACCTCTAGGTTAATTTTTAATAATGGGGGACCATTCAACGGTAATTTATTGATGAGAGAGTTCTTCACACACTGCATTTCCATTTATTGGAGTAGTAGTCCACAAGCTTTCAAGTGTGTAAGAGTCTAATAATGTGCTTGTTGACACCGCATATTTCCAGGCTCTAACTACAGAATATTATTCAATAGATCTGGGTGTGGACCTAGGACTGTGCATTGTCACAATTACTTGAGAAAACATTGTATTATTTCAATCTGGAAAAGACGAAGCAGTGAGTAAAAAATACCTACGGGATTTAAAAAGGAAATAGGGATTGCAGTTTTAAAATATGTTAAATGATTCTGTTTATCTCTATATTTAATGATATTTTAGGTATTTTATAGTATTGTCCTTGAATATATACATTCTTTTACCACTCATGTGAAGCCATACCTAGCCAGTCTTCAAACATTATTGGGTGATGGTGGTGGTGGTTTTTTCCTGTGATACATCTGTCATAGTAATTCCTCTGCTCCCATTACCCTGTTATCCTCCTAGCTCAGGCCTTATGATCTCATATCTGGGTGTATCAGTTTAGCTTTTGCTGGGTAATGCACCACCCCAAACATAATGGCTTAAAACAACAACTATTTCTTTAGTCCATGATTCTGTGGGCTAGTAATTTGGGGCTGGGCCGAGAAGGGCAGCTCTTTGGTCTTGCCTGAGCTCACCAAGACATCTGTGGTCAGCTGGGACAGCTGCTCAATGTGGCCTCATCATCTAGCCAACTAGTCTGGACTTATTCACATGGGGACAGAACTGTTCCAAGTGCGTCAAGAGGGCAAGCCCCGTGTACAGGAGCTTTTCAACCTCTGCTACATCACCTTTGCTGATGTTCTACTAGTTATATAACCCAGCCATATCCAGTGAGTGGAGGAATAAAATAAACTGCCTCTTAATGGGAGGCTCTGCCATGACACATTACAAAGGCATGAATGGAGGGAGAATAACTTGGGCTCATTTTCACACTCTACTGAATTATCACATCTCCTGCCTTGCCAGCTTCTCTGGCTGTAGGTTTTTGCTGCTCCAGCCCATTGTACTTCCTGCTGGCAATATCATTTTCCTTAAACTTTGCTTTCATCATATTACATCCCTATTCAGCCCTCCTGCCCCCTGAAGTTTTCTCTGTACCCACTTTATCAGCTATAAACTCTTCTTCCTAGCTGTCAAAGGTCTCCATACACTTGCCTGACCCTGGAAGCAGAACGTATAGTACGTGGGTAAAAGAACTAGTTGCGTCGGGAAACCTGGGCACTAATTCCAGCTTGGTCGCTGACTAGTTTTTAACGCTCTGGGCCTCTATAAAATGAGGGAGTGTGGATAATATCCAAGAAGTTCTTTTCAACTTTAAGGTTTAGGCTGAGTGTACCTAGACAAATGTGTTTCCTATCACTCCCTCAATATACCTTCAACTCTAGTAAGACCTGGCTTCTTATTTTTCTACTGAACAACTTGTGTTCATGTTGCTCTTCGTGCTTTCGTTCCTCGTGTCTTCTCCATCTGGAATGCCCTTTGCCTTCTTCACTGCTTGTTTTAGACTCTGCCCACCCCTTGTCTTTGTTCATCTCTGCCATCCGATTTGGCAATTATATGATTTCTCATATTATTCAGTGTTTCATTAGTCTTATCAACTACATTATAAACTTATTGAGGAAAGAGACTGTATTTTACACACTGACTAAATATATAGTAGGTATCAAGCAAATATTTGTAGATTAATCCTAAATTTTCATGTCAGGTCATAGAAAGTTGGAACTGGCTGAAAACTTTAAAGACAAGTAGGAGGATAAGACTGCTTGGGCAGAGGTGGTGACAGTTCATTACATTTGGAAGTATCTATTCTTAGGAGTGGTAAAAATTTTCAGAGCCTAAGATTGTACAGGAATTCATTTAATGATGTTCAATTTGGAAACAGTCTGGCCACTTAAAAGTCCCACGGGTCCAGTCCTAGCAAGCCAGGTAGTTGTATTAAATGTACTCAAGGCAGTACACACTTACTGAGCTGGTGGCCTTTAGAACGTATCTACAAAGTTGCTGGGCAGGCCTTTCCTCCAGCATCCTGTGACACTAGTTCTCCTCTGCTTGTGTCCTGCAGTTTTCATCCTTTTGTAAGCTGTCACCATGACCCTGACAAAAGGTTCCTTCACCTACTCCAGTGGGGAGGAATATCGTGGCGAGTGGAAGGAGGGTGAGAGGACCCCTGGGGGTATCCAGTGATGAACGTTTGGCTGAAGGACAATACCTCAGGATAAATAAGCCAACTTTATGCATCTTCAGGTCCAATTCCAAGATTTAATATGATAGTGCCTTTCCATTATAAATAAAGGAATTAAAAAATGCTATTGTTAATTCAGCCTCCAGAAGTAAGTTAAATCTTTCTACTTCTAAATTGTGTTTTAATCCTTTTATTTTTTAATAATATTATTTGGGAATTGTTTTTCTAAACACTAATATACTCAGCAGAGTAAAATGAATTATTTTAGCGCCCATAAATCAGAAAATACAGAATTTATTGCAATGGCTTGATTCCAATGAATAGTAAGAATTTAAGGAAATTAGGGCAGACACTCAAGAGCATGTGATATTCATTGCCTTGAATTTCTTGTGACAGGTCATTACATTTGGAAGTATCTATTCTTAGGAATGGTAAAAATTTTCAGAGCTTGAGACTGTACAGGAATTAGTTTAATGATGTTCAGTTTGGAAACAGTCTGGCCCCTTAAAAGTCCCATGGGTCCAGTCCTAGCAAGCCAGGAACTGCCCCAAGGAGACAGTTTCACAATGTTTCCAGGCATTTACCTTATTCTCTTCACGGTAGATCCTGTAGCTGATGAATTCTTGAGCCTTTAGAGGAGAAATTGTGAAGATGGGGTGTGACCTTGCCTCTGTACATCTCCAGCCTTTTCTCCTGCCTCCCAAATACCTGCTGTCCCCTTTAATAGGACCTTTAGAGGAGAGACTTCCTGAGGCTCTGTCAGGAGTCTCTGTCTGCTGAAAGAACGGTCTCTGCTCTGTTTGAAAAGCGTTACTGCTCCTCCTGCATCTTGCTCTGTTTTCTGGTTAGTGCGATGGTTAAGCTCAGCCCTACTGATGCAACAGAGCTCAAGCCAGCATTGCCAGTTAGCTGATAGGTTTGCGCAGCAGTGTGGCAGTGCAAAGCTGCCTACCTTTATTTCTCTCAGAGTGGCAATGTAGTTAAGTGTTGAGGGCTGTCAGGTCAGGCTGCCTGCTGTGTTTGCATTCTTGCTCTACCACTTAATTGCTCTGGGATGTTGAGTAAGTTTTTAGCTTCTTTTTGTCTTGGTAGCCACAACTATTAAATGGCAGTAATAGTAGTACTGTGCCTACCTCATAAGGCTGTCATGAGGATTAGATAATAAATACAAAGTGCTTAGGGAGTGCCGGGCACATAACAAGGCACTGTGTGCTATTCTGAAGTGCTCTCTTATCTTTAATCGTAGCAAGACCTGCCCCAAATCTGATGGTTGTGACTTAAAATGGAAGGTCGCAGGAGTATTACTTCTCTGCTCTGATAATGTCACTGTTTCTCTTCTTTCCTTTGTGGGTGGGGTGACAAAGGCAAAGGATGTTAGACAGTGGGAGGGGACCCGGAATCTGCCCCATCCCAACCTGACACCTGTCCATTTCTTTGCTCAGGCCGCAGACATGGTTTTGGTCAACTGATGTTTGCAGATGGTGGCACCTACCTGGGTCATTTTGAGAATGGGCTCTTCAGTGGCTTTGGGGTACTGACCTTCTCAGATGGCTCAAGGTGGGTACTGGGTCATTCTTTTCTCAGCCTTAAACTAGGGAGACTCTGATCTAAAAATGATAGTGATAAATATTTGGTCAAACCAGAGCTTATCCCAGGCCCTCTCAAAACAGGCAAGGAGTAAGCTTGTTTTTTTATTGGTTATTTTATAAATAGATCTAAAATTTAAAGTGGAAAGAGGTGAGTGACCTTCCACTCTACTGCTTTGTTATTTTTTTGAGATTAGGGCCTCACATCATGCACACTCTCTGACCCTTCTCTGCTGGTTGGGAGCGGGGTGGGTGGAGCTCTGAGATAAGTGCAGTCAGCTTTGCTCCTTGGCATTAATAAATACCACCTGTTGGTAGCTGCTTGACTCAGTGAACCTGGACAGCTCACTACCCCCCTAAAGGCTAACATCTTATGTTTCTGCAGGTATGAGGGGGAGTTTGCCCAGGGCAAGTTTAATGGCGTCGGAGTCTTCATTCGACACGACAACATGACCTTTGAGGGGGAATTTAAAAATGGCAGAGTAGATGGTTTTGGTAAGTTGCAGCCCAGCAGGACGAGAGACTTAGGCAAGCATAATATGGGTGGAAGTTAGCTTTAATCCTTCTGTGGGTGTCCAGCAACCCATAGTGATGGTGCCCTAATGCCTGCCTGTTCACTGAACTTACTGACAGAGTGCTCCTGAGAAGGGCTGCGAGGTTTTCTCTTCCTTGGCCTCTACCTGTCATCTGATCTGAGTGCTTAATGCTGTTGTCACTCCAATATTTCCTCTGTCCCCTCAAAGGCCTGCTGACTTTCCCTGATGGGTCCCATGGAATACCCCGCAACGAAGGTCTGTTTGAGAACAACAAGCTGCTGCGGCGTGAGAAGTGTTCTGCAGTCGTTCAGCGGGCCCAGAGCGCCTCCAAGTCAGCCAGGAATCTCACTGCCTGATGGGTATTGTGCACCAGCTGATAAATACTGGGTAAAGCAGATGCCCTGGTATTCACTTGAGGTGAACAAATGAACCAGAGGTGAGAGGAGATGACATGACCTTGGAGCAGAAGCCTTATGCTGTGCCCCTTCACCTTGCCAGTCAGGGATGCAACCACAGAGAAGTTCTGAGGACTCTAGCCCCAGGCCCTGCAGTGGTTACCTGTTCTGTCTTTTCCTTGTGTCATTGGTACTCTCTGTCCCTAATACCTGGGGTTACCCAGTGCAGACCCGCCACTGCCTTCTACTTCCTTTTCTGCCCAACAACACAGTCTCTTCAAATATATTTCCCCTGTGAAAGATTAGGTAAAAGTGCCGTTTCCCTTTCCCTGACTGTATAAGCTGTCTTCCTGACCTGAGTTCTAGCAGATACTCCCCATTTGTGCCTCTCTCCTTTGTTAGACATAGGACAGGATCTCTTTATGGGATAGTGAAGAAAGAAACTGATGCAGTCATCTTATAACTTGTATTTATTACTTACTGTGGGGCAAAGGGCAGACCTCTCTGGGCCATATCAGGTCCTGCCATGGAGTGAACTGAATCCTTAGAGCTGACGTAGCTCCTTCCCTGTGGACCAGTAGTTTAGGTAGAACTGGACCCATCCTAGAACCATGGTGAACTAAATGAGCATTTGGTTCCTTGCATTTGGTTCACTGTAACTCTTCCACCATGAGCCTTGGCCGCCAGGCCTGGGGATCAGATCTTGACTGATAGGATCCCTGCACACTCATCATGGAGGCCTCCAGTTACCCTGTGACCTACACACTCTGCACTCCTCCCCACCCCCTTATCCTCATACTGAATGTTTCCTCAACAGCAGATTGTGGTGGAAATTATAGCCGTGTGCCTCTATTTAGTCTCTGAATTGTACTGTAGAAACAAGTGTTTATGAGGAATAAACAAACCAGAACTGCCTATACTTCATTTTCTTGATTTTCTTGCTCTGCGTCCTCATGAATATTAACCCATTTGCTGTTTCTAAAAATTAATCACAGATGGAGTCTTGGAACTGACACTGCACACTTTACTACATATATCAATTGATTTTCTAATCTCTGCACAGTAGGTGCTTTTTTTGTTGTTGTTAACCCTCACCAGAGGATATTTTCCCATTGATTTTTAAATAGATTAGAAGGGAGGGAGGGAGAGAGAGAGAGACACATCAATTGGCTGCCTCCTGCATGATCCTGACTGGGGCCAAGGATCCAACCTGCAACCCAGTTATGTGCACTTGACCAGGAATTGAACCTGCAACCCATTGGTCTGCAGGCTGATGCTCTAACCACTGAGAAAACCAGCCAGAGAAGTAGGAGCATTTTTTTTAAAAAATGAGACCGGTTTGACCAATGTCACCCCAATAAATTCAATTTTTAAAAAATCAGACAGCCTGGCCAGTGTGGCTCAGTGGTTGAGCATCGACCCAAGCACCAAGAGGTCACCAGTTCGATTCCTGGTCAGAGCATATGCCCAGGTTGTGGGCCAAATACCCAGTGCAGGTATGCAGGAGGCAGCCAATCGATGTTCTCTCTCGTTGATGTTTCTATCTCTCTCTCCCTCTCCCTTTCTCTCTCTCTAAAATCAATAAAGAAAAGACATTATGGCCCTGGCCAGTTTGGCTCAGCCGTTAGAGCGTTGGCCTGCGGTCCGGAGAGACCCGGGTTCAGTTTCCGCTAAGGGCACGTACTTTGGTTGCAGTTTGTCCCCGGCCCTGGTTGGTCGTGCGGGTGGCAGCCACTCCATGTGTCCCTTCACGTCGATGTTTCTCTCTCTCTCTCCCTTCCTCTCTCCCTCCCACTCTATCTGTAAAAAAAAAAAAAAAAAATCAGACAGGCTCAAGTTGCCCAAACCAGTGGCAGAGCTGGGTGGGATTTGTTTGCCAGTCTTTCTTTTTCCAAAGCACTTTCCCCTGTACTCCCCTCTCCCTGAGCATCAGAGTACCCAAGTCCTGAGCTGGTTACTTACGCACCTGCTGACCTTAGGCAAATCACTCCTGCATAGGTTTGCCTTTCTCTGCATGTTCTCCTGCCACACTAATGCTTTTACATGCCTGGTATTATACAGTCCTGTGAGAAAGGTACTATTACTATTCCTGTGTTACAGATGAGGCGCAGGGCAGGTAAGTAGTTTCCCAAGGTCCTGTAGACACTAAGGGGACAGATCCACGAACTTCAACCCAGGCCTGTGTAAGACCAGGGTTTGAGCACTTCCCTAGTCCACTAGCCTGGCTCCCTTGCCCTATCTTTTTGGCCTGTCCCTGAACTTGATTCTCCTCTGACAGATCCTCTAAAAGCCGCCTGTGAGAAGAGTCCAGGTGCTAAGTGCCAAGCTTCAGTGAGCCACATGCTCAGTTTCAGCTGAAGATTGATACTTTTTATATTCTCTCCAGTGTCAATTGAACATTGATACTTTTTATTAATACTTTTAACTTTTATATATTTTTTCTTTATTGATTTTAGAGAGAGGAAGGGAAAAGGAGAGAGAGAAACATGGATGAGAGAGAATATCGATTGGCCGCCTCCTGCATGCCCCTCACTGGGGATTTGGCCCACAACCTGGGCATGTGCCCTGACCAGGAATCAAACTGGTGACCTCTTGGTGCGTGGGTCCACACTCAACCACTGAGCCACACCGGCTGGGCAGATTGATACTTTTTATATTCTCTCCTAGCCTTTGCCCTAAGCAAGAAATCTGTTTACCTTTCTTTTAACCAGAGTAATTTTTAAAAAATCCATATCAGGTTTTCTGCCACTTGTCAGATATCACTGAGTAGGGTTAAATATTTTGGAGCAAGACGCCTTTCTAATTAATGTGGTGTTTCTAAATATGTCAGTCCCATTTAGAACTTCAATAAGGCTTACCCTGCGTTGTCACTAATTGAATGCGTGTGTTTGCTCAGTATTGTGAAGGTCTTTCTCAGAGTTGGGAAAAAGCAGATCTTGAAACATAAATCGCTTCTAGGTCGGTTCTTGACTTCTGGGCAGGAAACCTATACAGTGGAGTATCAATCTCAACACAGCCATACTAGTTTAATTTATTAAACTTTATTGCGATAACAAAGTAATTATTTTTAACAATAAGGACAGAGTACCTGTAGACAAGAGGATGGTCCTGTCCTGGGCCAAGCCCTCTTCCCTAATGTTTCAGACCTGGGTTGACAATAGTCTCTAGTCTCTAGAATGTAACATTTATCCACTAGGTGTCACTATTTACCATTTCTGGGTTGTCTCTGTGCATTTGCCATTGAGATCAAAGCTAGAGACAAAAATATGAGATCATCAAAATGGATTTAGGAAAGGGCACTGTGGCTGGAATGCATCTTGGGGGCCTTTCAGAGGCAAGTGACATTTTTCTGATCACATCCCCTGGAAAGAGTCAGAACTTGGGTTCTTAGAGTAGCCCTGCTTCCCCTGCATGTGCTAGAATCGGGTTTGTATCCCCAAGTCTACGTAGTCCTCCCTTCAGGCACATAGCCCTCCTGTGCCCAGCTGCCCGTGCCCTCCCCTCAGGCTGCTGGCTCATGTGTCTTGGGGCATAGGAAACCATGGAAGAGAGACAGTAAACAAGCTCTCCTGCCCAGACTGAAGGTCTCTAGAGACCCAGAGTTTAGGATACAAATTTGAGAAGTCATGGGATGTGAGAACAGGAAATGAGCATGCATGGCACCTGGCAAGAGGCGCCTGAAGACCAAAGTCGGAGAAGAAGCCTCAAACTCTCTTGTCCCCATGTTCCTCTGGGCTGAGATGGGCTCCCGCCTGTCCCCTTCTTGCCCTCAGAGCCAGCCATTGTTGGTGAAATCCATGCGCAGTGCCTCCTCCTCAGCAGCGCTGAGCTCCTGCAAGGGGGCCCGACAGGGGCCTCCGTAGTAGCCAAACCAGTCCATGGTTTTCTTCAGCCCTGGGATCCCGAAGCGCCGGGTCACCTGAGAAGCAGGGCCTGTTAGAAGAGACTGGGGAATCCCTACACAGATAGACCCAGACATGTGTCACTCTTAGAAAGTTGGGGTTTCTACTCTTCTCTCCCATTAAAGTAACTCCATCAAACCTGTGACACCTAGGGTAGATTGGGAATCCAGACTGAGAGACCAGAAGGCAGTCCGGCAGTGGAGAACACAATGCCAAAACTTCAAATTAAGGAAGACACTTCCCTTGGTTTTCAAAGAAAAATCTACCACCGCATGGGGAGGAAAGAGCAGCAACGCCGAGGGTCTGGGTGCTAGAATAGGAGCAGTCTGCAGCGCAGTCCCTGGAACCTGACCCAGGGACAGCAGGCCTGGGGAGTCAGGCACAGCCCAAACCTCCACTGGCCCTGCAGCAGGATCCTCCCTGACCCAACTCTAAATGCTCTCCCGGGAAAAAGAATGCATCTTTGTCCAAAGAAGTTTCCTTTCTAACCTTATATCATTAACATATTAACTCTGAGCAAGTCTTTTGCTTAAGAAATGAGAGGGCAGGACACGATCTCTAAAATTTTTTCCACTGTCATGAGGGACCTAGGGCTACTGTCAATTGAAAATCATGGATGAGTTTTACAGAAAATGGTGTATCAAGTTTCTGCACTTTTAGCAGAGCAACTGGTTATTTCATGATGATCAGAAGTGCTAGATGAATCTTTGACTCCCTAAAAACTAGGAAAGTAATCATTGCTACATAAAGTTTTATTTGGAGGGAAGGAGAAACCTTAGAAGTATGGGCTTTGTGAAGGGTAAAAAAAAGGCTGTTTGGGGTAAAAAGGTTGGCAGCCTGATGAAAGATTGACTAATAACTACTTACCACTAGAGGTCAGTAGGCATTAGCGAGCCACTTCCCCCGCCTGCCCCAGCCAGCCATTGTGTTCTAATAACCCAGGCATTTCACCCAAAACCTGAGTAGTGAGGGAAAGACCCAGGGGAGAGTGTGGACACAAGAAATACCTAGAGAAAAGCTTTCTCCCACCACAGGCGCCTGAAGATCTTTGATTTGCCCCTCTTTAGACCCTGAGGAAGGGTTGAATGCTTTGGTAAAGACTGTGAAGTCCTAAATATAGCCAGGCCAGGAGGCTGGCTGGGTGAGAAGGCTAGGAAGGACATTGTGTTCGAGCAGGGCAGGGAAAAAAGGTGACATCAAGCTGCTCATGGGGTAGCTGAGCCTACAGCCCAGGCAGCAGAAAGGTGTTCCAGGAATTCCTGAGTGTGTGCCCAGAGCTGGTCGAGGAGTGCAGAGTGAAGGGTAAGGCAGGGTGGCATGCAGAGCATTGGACAGCAGCAAGCATCCTCTCTTCCCAAGGGGCAGCCCAAGCTGCTCCATCTATAAAATGTTGTGATTGCAACACCTACCTCATGTCACAGGAATTGAATGAAAAAAAAATGCCACTATTAGACCAGACCCCAAAAGCCCTGGAAGCTTCTCTCCCTAGTGGTATACAGGTCTGGTACCTACTCTCTTGCAGGTGGGTGGGAACAGCAGAGGTCTCACCCAGTGGAATGTCCAGTGTGTATAGTACAGACTGGGCCCTGCTGGAGCTCAGTGAAAAGGCCCTCATTTCTGCAGTTCTTACTTCCTTTTTATAGAGCATCCTATCCCAGGAGAGCCTTCACATCCAGGGAGACTCATGCTTGGCTCCTCAGCTGTCATTTCTCTAAATCTGAGTTAATCTGTGCCTTTGAGGTAAAGACAAACTGTGATGGTGATCTGGAGCCTGCCCATCCCTTTAGCCAAACAAAAAACATTGCCTAGTTCAGTAGAGGACTATCGTCTCAGATGCAAACCTAAGAGGGCACCAGAGAAGTCAGTTATCAAGGTAAATAGTTAATGCAATTAAAAAGATAAAATAAAAAAAACCAATGCAAAAATATCCATAATGAACGAAGTATCAAAGTTTTAAATAAAGACAGGATCCAACAGAGCTATGCCCTGCAGTATTGTAGCCTGAGGCAAAGCAAACATGTAAATAAGGCAATAAGGCTCCTATACATATGTTTTGTGTTTTGTTGTTGTTGTTAATCCTCACCCAAGGATATTTTTTCCACTGTTTTTTTTTATCCTCACCTGAGGACATTTTTTCCATTTTTTGTTCAGCTAGAGTGGGAGGGAGAGAGAGGAACAGAGAGAGAGAGAGAAACATCGATGTGAAAGGGACACATCGAGTGGCTGCCACCCGCACGACCAACCGGGGCCGGGGACAAACTGCAACCAAGGTACGTGCCCTTAGCGGGAACCGAACCCGGGTCTCTCGGGACCGCAGGCCGATGCTCTTACCACTGAACCAAACTGGCCAGGGCTCCACTGGTTTTTAGAGAGAATGGGAGGAAGATGGATAGTGGAGAGAGACATTGATGTGAGAGAGACACATAGATTGGTTGCCTCCTACACATGCCCCGACTGGGGCCAAGAATCAAACCTGCAACCCAGGTACATGCCCTTGACTGGGAATCAAACCTGCACCCCTCAGTGCATGGGCCAACGCTCTAACTACTGAACCACGCCAGCCAGGGCTTGTGTATTTTTTAATAGTCATTTTTTTTCTAAAAGTAGATTTGGGAGAAAATTACCTTGATAAATCAGTTTGCTTCCATCAAGCCAGGGAAGTAAAATTTTAACAAATTATGTTTTTGGTATAGATAAAATATTTAAAACTAAAAGAATGTTGTGAGCTTTAATATACCTACTTTAAAATTCTTCAGTGCCCTGGCCGGTTTGGCTCAGCGGTTAGAGTGTCAGCCTGCGGTCCTGAGAGACCCGGGTTCAGTTCCCGCTAAGGGCGCGTACCTCGGTTGCAGTTTGTCCCCAGCCCTGGTTGGTCGTGCGGGTGGCAGCCACTCGATGTGTTCCTTTCACGTCGATGTTTCTCTCTCTCTCTCTGTTTCTCTCTCTCTCTCTGTTCCTCTCTCTCCCTCCCACTATACCTGAACAAAAAATGGAAAAATGTCCTCGGGTGAGGATAAAATTCTTCAGTATTTTTAATGTTCTGGGCAGAGGGCAGGGGGTGAAAAAAAATCACCATTTAGAAAACTAGTTAGAGCTTCTACTTCCAAGAAGATGGAATAGATGTATTTTCCCTTATTCTTCCCAATAAATACAACTAAAAATCCCTGGAAATTATGTAAAAATAAACATAAAACAAGTCTGAAAAGGACAAGGAAGACCAGCTGGGGACCTGAGGACCAAGGAACAACACAGTGGTGGGTTAACGGGCCCTGACTTGGAGCTGAAGGAGCCAGCAGCCTTGAACTGCCAATGAGCACAGGCAATAAAAGCTGCAACAAAAGGCCATTCTCCCTAGCCAATGACAAAATACAACACTCATTAATGATTTTTTTAATTCTCTGAAAACTAGAATACAGGGGGAACGTCCTCAACTTGATTAAGAGTATCTGTAGAGATAGGAAAAATGGCGGTGGAGTGAACGGAAGCTACACAGACCGTCTCCCAGAACCAAACTGGAATTACAACTATAACACGGACAAATCGACGGGAAAAACCAACAGAAAAGCAGCTTGCGAGGACCATACAACCAGGGACACTGACTTGATCCTGGTAGGCTTGCGAAGGCGCGAGACGGGGCTGGGAGCCCACGGTCGGCAGCTCGGCAGTGGCCTTAGCTGGGAGCGGCGCCCGCGGGTCACACTCCCAGGCGGCTCCACAGCGCAGAGCCGGACAGAGGCTGAAACAGCCACAGCCACTCACCTTGGGCTCCGGCAGAGGGAGGGCAGACTGGACTGGAACTGTGTCGGGACACTCGGGATTTGGAGGGCGCTCAGAGCTTTGGCTGAGTGCAGCCACGCAGGACGGTGGCCATATTGCTCCTTTCCAGGGCTCTGGGGAGAGGCAGCAGCCCCTCCCTCGGAGATCCAACCCCACCCTGTGGGTCATTGAAGTGCTAATTGAGGCTCACTAACAACCAGCATCTGCCCCACCCTCGAGAAATCCCCTTGTGCTGAGCACCTGAGGGAGCTTTTCAATCAATTGACAACCCAAAACTCATCAAGTAACCTGGACTGTGGACTGCTAGCCTCCAGGCAAAAAGCTAGAGGATAACAGTACCTTTCCTGGGCTGACAACTTTAACCAGGAAAGTAAGACTTGACAATGGTGTTTAACGTGGGTCCTCCCTCGCTCATCTAAACACAGGAAAGGGAGCCACAAACAGCAGAACACCAACACCCACAGGGAAAACTTGACAGGCTCCAAAGCCCACAGTGATAGCCAAAATGGTGAAACACAGAAACAGAAGCCAAATGAAAGAGCAAGAGACCTCCACCGAAGATGAGATCAATATGGAGCAATTAGGCATGTTAACAGAGCTAGAATTCAGAGCCATGATCTTGAGGAAGCTGAACAGCATGAGTAAGGACATAGAGACACTGAAAATAAGCCAATTGGAAATTAAAAACCATAAAGAAGAGATAAAAATGACATATCAGAAATGAAAAACACATTGGAAGGTTTAAAAAGCAGAGTAGAGGAAGCTGAGGACCGGATCAGTGAATTAGAAGACAGGGTAGGAAAAATCAACCAGTCAGAAAAACAAAAGGAAAAAACTATTAAAAAACAGGAAGACAGCTTAAGAGAACTACGGGACAACTGGAAACATAATAATATTTGCATCATAGGAGTCCCCGAAGAAGAAGAAAATGAGCAAGGGATAGAGAATATATTAAAAAAAATAGTGACAGAAAACTTCCCCAATTTGGTGAAGGAAGAAGGCATTCAAGTTCAAGAAGCACAGAGAGTCCCAAGTAAGAAGAACCCAAACAGGCCCACACCAAGACACATAGTAATTAAAATGGCACAAATTAAAGACAGAGAATCCTAAAAGCAGCAAGAGATAAGCAACAGGTTACCTACAAAGGGAACCCCATAAGGCTCTCAGCTGACTTTTCACAAGAAACACTACAGGCCAGAAGAGAATGGCATGAAGTAATCAAAGTCATGAAAAACAAGAA